AGTAAAAATTCGGCAACGTCTCTTTGGGTGCCCATGCACGCCCGACACATCTGCCTATACAGGTAACCTAGAACAGTTGCACCCCAGCTGTAACCAGGTAAATCATCTAGCCGCTCCAGATGATGTAGAAATCTCAAACTGACTAGGTTTCCCGAAGTGATCGGGAACAGTACACCACCAAACATCAGCAGCAACAACAATCTCGTGTGCTGGTCGATATCCTCCGACGCTGAATTATTCGTAATCTCCGCATCCATCGCCGCCAGATGCTGCCGGACGTGCGTCAGCTGCAATTGACTGGCCCCACTCAATGCAGTCGGCTCCGCTGGCTGGAAAATGGTGAGCCGCTGCAATATATGCAGGTAATCCACTCCCGTATAGTCTCTAAGAGCATGCGGGTAAGCTATAGGTAATCCATCAACCGGCAGGCCGAAAAGAACCTCCACATCCTCAAGCGTGATGGTAGCCTCACTGATGGGTAAATGAAACGGGTGTGCCACCGGTCGCCACCGCTCTATCATAGCCATGATCAACGTCCAGTCAAACTGCAACCAGCTGATCTCTATGATCCAGGAGAAACCCATATCTTGAAGGCGTCTAACTATACGGGGATGGAGTGGGTGGTCCCTAATAAACTCTCACATATCATCTATACGTCTAGGGTGGAATTTCTGGGACAGACACTGCCCATCCCAGATGTGTGAAGACCTATGGTTTCCCTGTAGCAATAGTAGCTCTCGAGATGTAGGTCCGGGATGCACAAGGGGAACCTCCATGACGATGTTTGTAAATTGAACAATATTAGTTAAAGTATTTTTCTTTTTAATTGCTTAACATCTTTAAATATGTTGCAATATCTAATAATAAATCGATATTTTTACTATATTATTAGTTTTGTTGATACATTTTCTATATTATTATTTTATATATTAGTTTATTACATTATTTTATATGTTAGTTTATTATTTCATATGTTAGTTTATTATTTTATATGTTTGTTTCTTACTCAGCTATTTTTGGGTATAATAGATGTCACTACCCGGATTTTCCACCGTCAGGATCGTGGTCGCGCCTAACTTTTCACAACGCCAGGCAAGCCAACATGTAAAGATCTAATACGCTAACCGCTATCCAAAATAATAAATAATAATAATTAAACCAAAACAAAGTAAAGAAGTGCGAAAATCTATAGTAATCCAAAAACTAATATATGACTACCCAAAATCTGGTGTCACAATCCACGAACTTCTAAGAGTCACTACAAATACTGGTTTAAAGAAAATACATATGTTCTAGAAATAAAAGAAAACAGGGAAACTAGGATAACTGGAAGGGGACTCCAGGGTCTGCGACCGCCGACAGATCTACCTTGGGTCTCCTGTTGGACTGAAGGCAGCAACCCAACTCTGATCAATGCGGTCCAGTATCAAAATCTGCACAGAAAGTGCAGAGTGAAATATCAGTACAACCGACCCCATGTACTGTAAGTGTCAAGCCTAACCTCGGCGAAGTAGTGATGAGGCTAGGACGCGACAATAACATGAACCTGTGCAGTTAAATCATATACAAGAAAATAACAACAAATGGAAATTTAAGCAGATATTAACGGGAAGGGGGAGAAACATGCTGGGGGGAATATCAAATCCTGAAATAGTGCAGTAAGGAAACGCAGTAAATAACATGCTTTACACCAACGAAAGTAATAACGTAGCAAACAAGTGCACGACATCACCCTTCGTACTTTTACTCTCGCCCTTACCATAAGAAACAATAGAAACGGCACGGCATCACCCTTCGTGCATTAACTCTCTCATAACATGGCACGGCATCACCCTTCGTGCATTATCACTCACAGAATACGGCACGGCATCACCCTTCGTGCATTATCACTCACTCACAATGCATTGCACGGCATCACCCTTCGTGCTTTAACACTCTCCCTCACCAAAACAATGAACAATAACAACAGGGAGATAGAAATATCAATAACCAGTCTTACTTCAACATTTAATTCCACAATACCAGTCTCAACTCTGAGTTAATACTCAATCAGTACCAAGCTTTGTAAAACATGATAAGAGTTGTTCAACACATGAAATAACAAGTCTAATCATGAAATATATGATCAAAGAGTACAACAGTTACAAGAATAAGACTAACTCGCATGCTATGACTCGACGACAACGCATAGGTACTCGTCACCTTACCTATACGTTGTACTCAATATCAAACACGTAGAAAATAGACTCAACAATACCTAATCCCTCAAGCTAAGGTTAGCCACAACACTTACCTCAATTCCACGGCCAAACTCAAGCCTCAATTATCGCTTTTCCTCTAGTTTCCACCTCCAATCCACTCGTATCTAGTCATAATTAACTTAATAATATCAATTATCACTAAAGAAATCAATTCCAATGCACAATTACAAGTTTCCCAACATTTTCCCCAAAAAGTCAAAAACCGACCCCGGGCTCGCTTGGTAACTCGAGGTTTGGACTATTCACCCCCAAGCCCAAATATGTAATTAGTTTCGGAATCCGACCCCAAATCGAGGTCTAAATTCCAATTATACAAAATTTCCTAATTCTACCCAAACCCCCAATTTTCACCATGAAAACCCTAGATTTTAGGTTGAAAATTGATGAAACGCAATGGGTAATCGAAGAAAGCAGTTTAGAATCATTTACCAACACTTTGGGGAAGAATTTGTCTCTTGAAAATCGCCTCTAAGCCTTCTAGTTTTGAAAAATATGAAAGAATGGCCTAATTCCGTTTTTGGTTCTATTTTTAAAACACTGGACAGGTCTTCATCGCGTTTGCGATGCATTGCGGCCAGAAGGGCCTTCGTGTTCGCGAAGAGCTGCTCGCGTTCGCGATGGTCTGCCCCCCTGACCATCGCGTTCGCAGGCCTGGGACCGCGTTCGCGAAGAGCAACTCAATGATTCCCCAGCCCACCTCCATTTTACTATACGTGTTCGCATGCTGCCGGTCGCGTTCGCGAAGAGCAGCCCCCCAGTGCTCCATGTTCGCGATCATGGGTAAGCGTTCACGATGAACAATCCCCTTCCCAGCCCAGGTTACACTTCGCGTTCGCGAGAGTATCTTCGCGAACACGAAGAAGAAAAACCAGAAACACTGACTGCAGCAAAACACACTAGATTTCTAAGTGTAAATCACCCCGTAGCCTATCCGAAACTCACCCGAGCCCTCGAGGCTCCAAACCAAACATGCACACAAGTCTTAAAACATCATACGAACTTGCTCTCGTGATCAAAACGCCAAAATAACACCTAGAACTACGAATTTAGCATCAAATTGCATGAAATTTTCAAGAAAGTTCAAAAGTTCTATTTTCTCAACCAAAGGTCCGAATCACGTCAAATCAGTCCCGTTTCTCTCCAAATTTCACATATAAGGTACAAATATCATAACAGACCTGTACCGGGCTCCAGAACCACAATACGAACCCGGTATCAACAAAATTAATTATTAACCAAATTCTTAAAACCTTTATAATTCCAGTTTAACAATTTTCATCATAAAATTCATTTCTCGGGCTAGGGACCTCGAAATTCGATTCCGGGCATACGCCCAGGTCCCATATTTTACTACGGAGCCTCCGGGACCATCAAAACACAGTCCGGGTCCGTTTTCTCAAAATGTTGAGCGAAGTCAACTAAAATCAACTTTTAAAGGCAAAACCTATTATTTTCTCAAATTTTCACATAAAGGCTTTTCGAAAACGCACTCGGACTGCGCACGCAAATCGAGGAGAAATAAGATGAGGTTTTGAAGGCAAAACCCCGAATTGGGTTCTAAAATACGAGATGACCTTTTGGGTGATCACAATATAATTAAATTATTAATTTCCATAACTATACATGATATAATTAATAAGTATTCATATAAAATACTTAGTTTGACAAATTTTCTATATTGTTGTTTTTTTTGTTATTTTCTTACATTTGTTGACTAAAATTCGAGAGAGTTTAGGGTTAATAGATAATTAAATGATTAATTTCAATAACTACAAACATAATTTAGTAATTATTCATATAAGAGATACTTAGGTTAATAAATTTTCTATATTAATATTTCATATGTTAGTTTACAATATTTTTCCACTAAAGTGACACTACTCTAAATGGTCATGAACAAAGTCAACTACCATTAGTTAAAATTTATTATCAGTATTACTACACTAAAGGGCACTACATTACAATTACGGGCACTACATTATAATTACGGGCACAACATGACACTAAAGGATACGAAACAACAATAAGTCAAATATTAATATACGTACAACAATAAAATCCAAATAACATTAATTATTCATAAAATAACAATTTATCTATTTTACTAATTTTTTAGCACATAAATAATCTAATCCGGATAAAAAATAACAAATTAATTAAATCACAAAACAATCATGAAAAAACCAGACCACAGTAAAAAATAACTAATAAGCATTGTTTATAGCAACTAATAACATTAGTTATTCATAAAATAATAATTTACCTATGTTACTAATTTTTAAGAACATAAATAATCATATCCGAATAAAAAACAACATATTAATTAAACCACAAAACAATCACGAAAAAACATAGACCACAGTAAAAAACAATATTAAGCATTTTTTATATATGAATTTTACCAAAAAGTAAGCCGGAATATCTCGATTTAAAATTTTTTGAAATGTGAATTTTATGATTCGGGGGCCGAAACGAGCAATCCACTACACGATAACGCCTTAGATCCGGCATTAGCTTGCTAAAATATGTAGAAGATACACTTTTTGTAGGACGGATGGGCTCCAATGGGGATTTTTTGCTTTAAAAAGTTGGGGAGGGGACCGCTGAAATGGGGAAATGAGGGTTTGGGGAGTTACTGGTTTTCTGATCGGGGAAGGAGATGGCTCGCTTTTTTAAGTAGGTATAGCACATGTATACTGACTTTTTTCTTCACAAAAAAAAAAAAGAAAGAAAGAAAGAAAGAAAAAAAGTGTGGCGCTAAGAAATGATCTTAGACGGAGACCTTTATACTAAAAACAGTACTAGTTACCACACAAAGTAAAAGTAAGCCAAAATGAATAAAAAGAAACGATGCTGAGCCTTCCTATTTGTTTGTGCGCCATCCAGTCTCCGCCTCAGCAAGGTAATGCAAAGGAATCAAACGCCCTATAATCATTAGGGCTATGCTCTCTCCAAGAAGGTCATTTTTGTCTGTTACACCCTTTGACAAAAGTCATCATCACCAACAAAGCTCCCCCACAAATGCTTTTATTAATGGTCAGGGAAAGCTCCCAGTAAACCCAAGCCATAAGTCTTCCAAATTTCATAGTTAAGTTGCCAAAGATTCATGATGCCACTATATTTGCAGAAGCAGCCAACTCTGCCAATTGCTTGCCACCAAGCATGGATACAAGCTCAGATGATATGAGAAGTTTCGGCAAATCTTCAATTTCTTCTTCCTTGAAATTATAAATTGGTTGAAGTTTTCTTGCTTCAACCTCGGCAGCATCAGCCTCTGCCATTAAAGCCTCAGCTTCTTCCTGGTGACCCAACTCCAAAGCCGCTGATCTCTCAGCTCTAGCCGCTCTAGCAATTAGAATTAGCCTCTGGAACCTAATCATAGCCAACTCTTTTTCCTTCGATGAAATCTGCACTTCAGTTTCCTGCAGCCTATCAACGGTGTGGCATATTTTCTCCTCAAGCTTCTTAAGCTCTAACTTAGTGCTGTCCTTTTTGCACTGTATTTCTTCCTTTTCAATGCACAAGGCCTTAGCCTCTGCAGCTAGTCGTGCTGCTTCTTTAAAATTTCTTGTAGTAGCAGCAACCTTCTTCTCTGCCTCCAACTCTGGAATTCTCCTGTCAATGAAAAGAAGCCGCTGCTTACAGGATTCAACTTCCTGCTGGATACTTGACTTAGTTGAAGATAACTCCTGCAAGTGGATATGCAAAAGAATATTAGAGAGATGGAAATTGAAGAAATGTTAAAGCATTTTCCAAGCATTTCACATTAAATTAATGAAAACTATGACCTTCATTAGACTGAAAGCCAGTAGTCATGCTTACAACTTTCAGGTACTAGGTTCCAAAAATAATACTTATAAGTCTTGCTTAGTGTTACTATCAGTTGCATATAAAATGCGTCCATGAATACATTTGATGAGCCCCAAGAAGCTCAAACATTTCAAATGCAATACTTGTTGAATATCCCATGCATGAACATGCAATTCTTCAAAATACTAATGCTGATATTTATTAGGGAAAAGGCACAAGTACCCCCAAACCTATGACCGAAGTTCCAACTACCCCCCTAAACTTTTTTTCCCCATAATTATTTGCACCTTATAGTACTGACCTAGACCCAAATGTGAAAACACCTCCTTCAAGCGCGTAGGAACTTAAAAGAAAAAGGCAGTAAACTACACGAAATGGCCACGTGTTAGTCTCAAAGCTAATTTTCAAGAGCCCTTCGTCCAAAACACACTTGACTTTATGAACATATTACCACCCATTTTCAAGAGCTTTAAATTGATGTTGGATCTCAAAATTCAACAAAAACTAAGCCAAATTGGCACCAATCAAGCTCAAATTTCAACTACAACTCCACAACATCATCACCAAATCCAAGTAATCAATTTGACCAACAACCAAGAATCTCAAAAAAACACATTTTTTTATTCTTTAAGATTCTTCAACAATGGTGGATTCGAAATTCTTTCTCCATTTTTCGAATCTCAGTAGCAACTAAGGATCTAGAATGAGTTTAGCACTTGAATCTCAACTTCAACAACTTTTGAATATGCTTAGCGCCTCCAATTCTTTTTCAAGCTCATACAAGAACAATAACGATTGTCATTTTTATTTTTTCCATTATATTTTGGAATTAAAAAGAAAAAAAAAAGGAAGAAAATGAAATAGATTTAAAAAATTATTAAAAAATTGCGAAATTACATGTGGCAGCGCGTGTATTTCTTGTCTACCAAGAGTTTGGTTATCTATGCTACGTCACCACTTAGGGTGGCATTTATTATACTAAAATAGTTCAAGGGGGTAATAGGACCCCCGAAAAGGTAAGATATGTAGTTAGAACTTCGGTCATAGGATGGGGGGTACTCCCTATTTATTATTTGTAAATCATAAGCTTTACACACATTGTTATACATTTAAAACAAAGTTTGACCTATGTAGAAACACTCTAAAGATTAAAGAGTTCTAGGACAAGTCAAATTAAGACAGAACATACGTGTAGCCAACATAAGAAGAATGAACTTGATGTGAGATTAAATGGGATTGTGATGCCTAAACGCGGACAATTTAGATGTCAGTTTTTCAAGAGATTTGCATGATAGATGAAGATGTAACAAAACAACAACAACAACAACAACAACAACAACAACAACAACAACAGAGCCAGTGGAATACCACAAGTAGGGTATGGGAGGGTAATGTGTACGTAGACCTTACTCCTTCTTAAGAAGGTAGAGAGGATGTTTCCGATAGACTCTCGCCTCAAGAACAGTGAAAAGGAAGCAATAAACAAATAATAGCAGCAACAAGATACTAGGCAATGGAAGCAAATGGCAAAGCATGCAATAGTAAAGATCTAGGAATACGAAAATAGATGAAGATGTAACACATAAAGTTAAAATTTGATGGCCAAAATGAAAGAGTGCTAGAGGACGTATCATGTGATAGAGGATACTTACCAAAGTGAAAAGCAAGGTTTATAGAAAGGTTGTGAGACCAGCAATGCTATATATGAGCGAATATTAGGCCCATATACGCAAGAAGAGTATTGCAAAAATGTAAATGTTAAGATGGATGTGTGACTCGGGCAAAAGGTGCAAGTAGTGCACGGAGGGAAAATTGTTTGAGATAGTTGGCCATGCCATACGAGGACCTTCAGATGCATTAACCAGTAGATGAGACACCATGATAGTCAAAGATATTAAATAAGATGAGGTAGCACTAGAATCGCATGGAGGAAAGTTATTTCAAAAGACTTTCAATTTCTTGAAATCCAAGAGTGAATCATAGGATAGAATGGAAGCAAAGTATCCATTATTGTCGCACCAAATAAAACTCGTGATTTGTTCCAGAGGACAATTACTGAGTAGTGGGACAAGTCTAAATGTGGAACGAGTATAAAGGATTCATATAACCAAGTAGTTTGGGATTAAGGAGTAGTAGTAGTTGTTTTTTTATAAGCACCTCAAAGTACTTTCCTGGCATAGTGTTTAAAACTATAACCACAATAGATGATGCTTTCATGTAACTTCTCCACTTTGTAGTACCTTACTCTTAAGATTTTAACTACTCTAATACTCTTTTGAAATGAATTCTGCAATTAGAATTCTTATAAAAAGATTTCAAAAAAATACAAAAACCTACACTAATAAGAGGAAGTACTTCGTTAAAGACGCTCTTTTGAACCCTGGCAGCATTTGACATACTGCAATTTCCATGATTTAAAAATGAAAAAAGAGAATTCAGTTATTCATATGGTTGCTGACTTTCTAAGTGTTTACACAGCTAAAATAGTAAAGTGTTGTGCACTACACGAGATCTTAGCCAAAACACCGAGAAAGCTATAATAGCAATCTGTCAAGCAACAGAATGCTGGTGCCTGCTAATTTGAGTACCGACTCCTGAGCAAGAAGTTGCTATCCAGATAAAAGGTTTCTCCCCAGATTGCTAGTGAAGTTTCTATTCAAATAAGATTCACCAGCTAATATGTGTTCAAGCGCATGTATCCCCCCCCCCCCCCACCCAACCCGGCTCTCTCTTCTCCATATTACACCAAAAAGCCAAAATAAAAGGACTCGAGCTCTCATCTATGAATATCTCAAGTTCCTTCCTTCCTTCCCAAATGAACCACCTACACAAGCTGGGAGTGTTTCTCAGGTCCTCCTGCAAGTTTTATCTTTATGTTGCTCGGACTCTCCGAAAATATTGCCGGGTGCGTGTCGGATCCTCTAAAAATAGTGTATTTTTGGAGGATCCGACACGGGTGCGGCATCATTTTGGAGAGTCCGCGCAACATAGGTTTTACCGATTTATTTCCCTCCAAACAGAAGAGGTTTACCTGATTGTTCTGCCTATTGCTCACCTTACTCCAAATATTCAAGAGCAGTTACCAGAGTTGAGACACCATTGGGCAGTGCAAAGGCATATGCCCTTTTTTGTAGGTTGACCACTTTAGCATCCCTTTCAAGGTTGTCATATTTGCTGCAGAAGGCATACCCCTTTTCTGTAAGTTGCTTTGAGTCAACAGAGTCTCATAGGTAACGACCTACTGTTTGTTGCTTAACAGGAAATGCAATTCAACCCCCAAAAATACGCACAACCCTGTTGTAGAATGCCTGGTTAATGGGCATCCGGTCCAATCAGAATCGGAAAACCCAACAAGGCTAAGGGACGTTTTGAAGTGTTCCTTAGGCAAAATGTAGCGTGGTAAAGAGACTGCATAAACTGACAAACCAGATTCACCGCATGAGAAATCTCAGGCCTGGTGACTGTTAGATATTGTAGAGCTCCCACAATGCTACGGTACTTGGTGGGATCGGCGGAGGATCCAGTTGCTTCATGAAGCCCATGCTTTTGAGCTAGAGGAGTTTGTACGGCTCGAGAGCATAACATGTTGCTGCATTGCAAAATATCTTGAGCATATTTACCTTGACTGAGGTATATACCATCTGGAAAATGATCTGCTACCATGAAGGAATTGAAAACTCTTAAGAAAATAAACTTAGGAGCACACGTGAATTGTATTGCTTCCATACCTTTTTCATACATCTGGTATGCTCAACAGTGCAATATATACACATGCATGTTGCTGCAACAGTTGAGTCATTTTAGGACTCCAAAAGCTAGAGTTCTTCTAATCTAAATACAATGCAATATAATCAACTTTATCTCTACTGTTACAACACATATTTGCACACAACTACAACTCTACAGCAGCCCAACTCTATCGTATCTCTAACAGAGACTGTCTCATTCATCTATCAATATCAAGACATAAATTTCCTGTCATTTCCCACTTTTATACGAGTACTTGCAAAACTAATCCCATAGCCCTCTAATGTGTTTCCATACACATGTTACATGAGCAGAGAAGCTGTACAAGAACTCCTTAAAGGATCCTCTTCATTTGCAGAGAAAGCTTCTATTGAGCAGCCTGAGATCCATAAATGAACCTCTGATATACCTTAGAATGTGAATCACCACATTCCAATGACTGTCACAAGGAGCTTGGAGAAACTGGCTAAGAACACTGATAGTTAATGTGATGACTTTTTTTAAGGTAATAGTGAATGAGATGTCTTGTCGTGAGATCGTAAAGTTTTATTGAGTTTGCCAACAATATTTGATAACGAATGGAGTCCGTAGGGCTCCCACTATCCAGGAAGAAACATAACATTCGGTCCATAGGAGTATCAACAGGTTTGCATTTAAACATGCCAGTTTCTTTCAATACGTTCAAAGCATACTTCCTTTGTGAAATGACAGTTCCATTGCTGTACTGCGCCACCTAATGCCTAGGAAGTATCTTAGTTTACCTATGTCTTTGGTCTGAAAGTAATCGACAAGATGTTGTTTAAATTGAGTAATGCTCTCATGATCAGACAGCAATACTTAAATGTCCAAACCATGCCCTTGGTCATTGCGTGGGACCATACAAAGATCGGCAGGAGACACAATAACCCAGAGTCCCTCGGAGCAGGGAGGTTGCTCCATGTATACCTCCTCGACAACTTCCCCATGAAGAAAGGCATTTTTGATATCCAACTGATAAAGGGATAAATGAAACATGGCTGTCATGGAGATAAGGAGGTGAACTGATGCAATCTTCGTTACTAGAGAGGAAGTATCACCATTATCAAAACCATCAATCAGAGTATACCTCTTTGTTACCAATCTAGTTTTGAGAGGATCAACCTCCCCATCAGCACTCATCTTGACAGTGCACATCCAGCAACATCCAATTGCTGTTTTGCCCGGCAGTAAAGGAACTATCTCCCAAGTACCATTATAATGAATAACAGTCATTTCCACAATCATAGCCTGACGCCAACCTAGATGAGCCATCGCCTCTGCCACAGTCTTAGTTATTTTGACAGTGTATGATTTGGTAACAAAGGCATGAAATGAAGGTGACAAATGGTAATAAGTCACGAAAATATAAACAACATTAGTGTTGCGTGTAGTTCAAATATCGTTTCGAAGTGCAATAGAGAGATCAATATCATCAGATGAGGGCTTGACCGAAGCACGGGATGTCAATAAAGCAGGCAACTAGTCACTCAGTGGACATTGTTTAGTTATCATGAACAGAAACCTCTACTGGATTAGCTGGTGGAGGGTTCTTGAAGAGGAGAGGAGCTAGAGTGAGAGTTTGGAGACAAGAATTGGAACAAGAAGGATCTTCGAGAAGGCATTTTGACTTAGTGAATTTGGTGAGACGCATGGGATGTCTCGAAAAAGGTTACATCTGCTGAGATAAAGTACTTGTGTAATAGTATCATAGAATTGTAACCTTTTTGGAGACACGAGTACCCCAAGAAGATACATTTGATGAACTTTGATTGAAAACCTGCTTAATTTATCAAGAAAACCCTCAACCTGCAATCGCATATCCACAAGCGAACCACTCCAACACAAAATATCGATCAAGATAAGCTGGCATGCACCAATTCAAAATTGGTATAAACTTAATACCGATGGAGCATACAAAAAATGTGACAAAAATTCAGGAATAGGAGGAGTGTTTAGAGATCACACAGGAAGTTGGATCATTGGGTTCCAAAAACAAGTTACTACCATTTCTCCTTTACATGCTGAATTGCAGGCAATATACGAGGGGCTCCAAATTGCCATAAACTTCAACTTTTTCCCCCTTGAGGTGGAAACAGATTCAACAGAGGCCATCAATGCAATACAGCATGACCATATAGTTTTCTCTAACATTGTTTATGCATGCAGATCATTAATGCACCAGCGGAAGGACCTCCTGCTTCGACATAACTTCCGTGAAGGCAACCAAGTGGCGCATCTACTAGCTAAGGACGTCACCAGCAAAAACTTTAAGCAATTCAGTTCGGACAGGCCAAAGCTCCACGCAATTCCACCTCTTTTAGTGAAGCTACAACTGACGACGGAACAAAATGAAGTCTGCCTTTTGGAAAAATCTTTATCTACTTCTGCTTGTAATATGTTAAGAACATTAGGTAACCAAAATATTGCTTGTGATATTCCACCAATGAGTGGGAACTTTTCACCTATTTGTAACAAGCTAAATGACTTCTAGCTAATATAATATATATTCCGTTACTATCAAAAAAAAAAACCCAGTGTATTCCCAGAAGAGGGGTCGGGTGAGGGTAGTATGTAGGCAGACCTTACTCCTACCTTGTGAAGGTAGAGAGACTATTTCCGGTAGACCCTCGGCTCAATACCCAGTGCAACGGCATATTCTCAAAATTAATATACGAGATGTTTCTGACCCACTCTCCACATTCTTGCAATATGGGCTTGTGTGCTGAAACAACTTAGGCAAGGTTTCTTGTTTAATGGCTCTAAGAACTTCATTCCACTCTGATGAAATTAAATATTTGTCGATTCTATAGGTTTTGTGCACTGTTATCTCCTCTCTCCCAAAGTGTACAATCCTCCCTGCAAAGTAAATCTATTAGGGTAATATCCTGTATAAAATCAGAAAAAGCTCTCATGGAACTTGAGCTTCTTGTACATATCTGTACTTGGTGAATCTAGCAACATTAAAGTCCGCCCAATAACCAAGGGCAATCTCATAATCCTCTTATTGCTGCCAATTCCATCCACAACTCATCCCTTTCATTTTTTGTGTGTGCTCAATATACCACCGTAAAAAAACCATCTAAATTCTTCTCTCACACTTCCAAATAAACAAGAGATAGAATAATTCCCACGTTGTTGTTCTAAACTTAAAAGCCTTTTATCTCAAATTACTAAAATCCTCTCCCAACCCTGCTACCTTCAGCTTTATGTTCGGCCCATGCAGCCCATCTATTACCCCAAACTATCTGGAGAATGAGCCAAATGTTTTGTAAAAGCAATTTAATCCTAGTATCTTGAGAAGTTAAGAGTTTACGATAAGTAGAAGTAAAATATGCACTGGAAGTTTAGATAGCATAACAAGAGTGAAGTTGAGGTGAAATTAGATGGTATTGAGGATTCTAAATACATAAAATTTAGATATTTATACTCAATATTTCAGGAGAATGGTATGTAACAACAGAAAACTAAAACAGAATGACAGAAACAGAGGTGTGCTATGAGAATGCTAAGCGACAGGCAGATACCTAACAAAATGGAAGACATGAACAGTTGTAAGACAAGCTATGTATGGGAGAGAATGTCGTGACTTTAAGGCCCATATCAATTAGATTAGTGTCGCAGCAATGCGAATGTTAAAATGAATGTCTCCTCAAATGATTACATCAGCAGAAAGGCACAAGTAATATACACGGAGGATAAAATGAGAAAATGTCACAGGAGATGATTTGGTCATGTCCTGCACAAACGTCCAAATGCACCACTCTAAACTATGATGATTAAAGGTGTAATGAGCAATACCTAAAGTCTCATGGAGAAAGTTGTATAACACGTGCAATTTTTTAGAATTCATGCAGAATTAACAAATAATAAAATACAATGGAAGTAAAAGATCCATATAGACAGTACCGGCTAGTGATGATTAATGCTTAGTCATGTTGGCGTGCTTGCACTAGGTCCGGTGTTTACTAGGAGTCCTTTGGTATGCCCACAGACTTGTATGTCACTAGAAAATGTATAGAACTTTGAACTTCCAGAGTTATAGAACCTCAAACTATTGAATAGTGAGATGAAACTGGTTCAAGTGGAATAGATTGGATAATAAGGATGCATATAACTGATCCCGAGTAGCTCACGATTGAGTAATTGTTGTTCTAAGTAATTTAAGCCTAATAAATTATGAACAACATATTTTCACTTTAAGGTTAGAATGCAGAAATAGTGCAATTATCTTATTTGACGTAGATATTGCTCTAATAGGAGAATCTGAATACAGATACTCAAAGCAGAACTAACCTGAAGTGAAGATCTTGCAGCAAAAGTTTCCTGTTTGAGAATTTGCACGTCCTCTGAGATCCTTTCTTCACTTTTGGCAAGATTCACTCTATAGGCCTTGGATTTCGAGATGAACATCGACAGACTTTTTCTAAGACCAGCAACTTCTTCGTACATGTTTGCTTCATCCGCAGCACTCCTGGAAAGATTCTTAATCTTTTCTCCTCTGGATTCTTCTTGAGAAAGGTAGTTATCAATATCCTTCTTTTTTCTCAGCAAAACTTCATTCTCGACCATTAGCTCAGAAAGGCATGACTGCAATTTATCATAATTATTATCTATACTTGCTTGAACCTCTTTAAAGCAAGAGACAACCCCATCAATCCTATTCTCAACTTTTTGAATGAGAGCATCATTTTCTGCTATTTCTGCTTCCTTCTCTTTCACTAAAGCAAGCAGTTTCCTCAATTCTTCGGCCAATTCTTCTTTTCTCATGCAAAGAACATCTATTTCCCTTTGGTCATCCTCCACTGATTGATCAATGGATTCATTCAAAATGGATTTAGCTTCATGAACTAGTTGGGATTGAATTTCTAATTCGAACTTGCTGACTTCTATGGCTTCAACTGATGAAAGCCACTCAGCACTGTCTTTTGAAGACATTGTTTCTGCATTCATGAGGACTGAATCTGCACTACTTGCAGCTTCCTGAAAAAAAAATCATCAAGTTAAAAAATTTCAACCTATCTGAATTAAATCAGCTGAAAATACTTTACACACAAGAAATGGTTCTAACATCAATACATGTTTCCAGTAAAACTTACAACATGAGAAATACAATAGTTCAGAAGATCTTTTTTTTTCCTTTTTTCTTTTGAGACCAGTATTTGAAAAAGTTCAGGAGGAACAATTACTTTATACAATGCATTTATTTACATGACTTAAGAAATAATGGAAATACATGATTATATTACGCCAGAGTATCTAGCAAGTCCATATCCATATGAAAAAACAAAATATGTTTTTGTTGTATCTGCTCTTGCTGGGGTAAGTAGCATTACCTTACCTAGAATAGACAGTTCACAAGTTTTTTCCTATATGATCGTGGATCGTCTTACTCAAATCCTCTTTAACTCCTTCCGCTTGGCTCCACTTCTGAAGTAATGAACACTTACACAACTTACTTTGGTGTGCCAGATGTTCCGCCTCATGAGCCATTAAATGGGACTGCCATCTCATCTGAATTGACCACTTCCAATCTCAACAAACATCGTTTTTGCTCAATGCTATAGCGAAGATGTGTGTAATCAGCCTTAATATATAAACTTTCTTTTTTGGGAAAAAGGTCATATATAGAACTTCACATGAGCTCCTTAAGGTGGAATACGGATTAAGATCTAGATTTTACCATGTAGAGAGAAGCCTTTACAAGATTGAAATAATTATGACACGTGTCGTATTTGTGAAGAAGATTATAACATGTCATAGATGAAGAATTTAGAATTAGATAATCCCTTGTTTAAAATTAGATAAAACCACTACTATAAAAAGGGAAACAATTTGCTACCATACAGACAATGGTTTGAGCAGCCTAAACACAGATACATGTAGATTCACCTGAAGATCCAAATTCAAGCAGAGGAAAATAAAGAAAAGAGAAAATAATCATTCAGATAAGTGCTATGTTATGCAATGCCACCAAATTACTTAAAAATGATGACTAGAACAAATTTGCAGAAGCATTTTTAGATGGAGGATAGTAACACAAGGAGAGGAAAACAAAAAAGGTTTATCAACTTTAGCAACCAATAGTCTGCATATCTCACCTCTGAAAATCTTCTTAGCAAATAAACACATTCCTCCTCAGCTTGAATAAGTGAGTCAAGAACCTCCTGCATCTTAGTGTCAACGACATCACAGTATGTCTCGGCATCTCTGAGCAGGATGACCAACCGATCCTTCTCCTTCTCTACCAAAGCAAGATTTTCACTGACCCTTTCAGCGGTCTCGAAATCCTCTGCCTCGCAAGCTTCATCCAGCTTCTTCTCCAACTCCCTATGGCGGGAAGATGCCCCATTGAAGTCGTCGACAGCTTTTCTTCTCCTATGGATAGATTCTTTCCGCATTGCGGAGACCGACGTTACTGCCTCCCGCGCCAACTTAAGCTTGTCTGCAATGCTGGCCCTGATTTGCTCGAATTTCAACTCAACAGGGTGTGCTTTAGCATTTAGATGACTAGCATCCATATTTTCCGAAATAGGAGTAGCCGACGCCAAGTTACCATTTCTGTCAGAGTCAGTGCCATTGGAATCCTGCTCTTTGGCTGCAGTAGTAGAAGTGGGGATATTGTTTTCTTGCTGCCTCAACTCCTCAGCTTCCTCTTCAAGCTTTTGTTCTTCATGGGATGCGGATACTATCTCATTGAGATGGGTATGGGGCAAGGGGTGAGATTGTGGTCGGTTGTCAGAAGCATAATCTCTATCTCTGCCATATCCTATCCTTAAACCAGCTTTTTTTCTTCTCCTACTGGAACTCTGCCGAGATAGTGCCGGCAGATCAGATGGAGATTGGGTTTCATCTTCTTCTTCTTCGAGCAGTAGAGATTGAGAGGGAGTCATCAGAGTGAGATCCGAGAAAAGATTCTCATCAAGGGGTTCATTGGATACAGCAGGAAGCTGCATAGATATAGATGGGGAAGAAGCCGATGCATCGGCATCGGCCACGGTGGACAATTGCCCGACATCTGCACCCGGATTGAAGAGAACCATCCCCTCAAACAGCGAACCCATTTCGTCTTTCTTCGAGGAGTCCTCTTTAGTCATCGATTCCATTTCTGCTTCCTCCCGTACGGCCGTCGTTCTACTTCGCATATCTTCCCGCAATTCCTCCGTATTAAATTCAGCTTTCATCTTCAAAGGGTAATTATCTTATAATATAAGATCTAATCGGGGAAAAAGTATAATACTCCTACAAAATAATTAATATAATATGAGATTTAAGGGAATCAAAGGTAACCAAAAAATAATCAAAGGCGAGTTTCATAAATATCAAGCTTCGGTTTGGCCAAATTTAAAAAAAAAAATACTTTTAGTCAATAGTATGGTTTCCGTGGCAGCGGTTTTTACTATTTTGCTTATTGCTATTACTTCTTTTTTATTTTTTTTCAAAGTCAACGGTCTTTCAAAACATGCTCTTTATTTTTGTTTAAGATAGGATTAAAGTCGCATATACACTTTCCTTTCCAAAGCTCAAAAAATTATAGTCAATAGTTCTTTTCCAAAAGTACTTCGAAGCTCTATGATTTTATGCTTGATCAAATTATTTGTGAATTCTTTGTTGGTACTAGAAATATAGTTTGTATTTGAACAATTTTTTCAAAAAGTATTTTTAAGGTCAAACTAAAAAAAAGGGCGTGTACATATCTATTTAACAATTACTATCAAACAAAAATAATTTTAATTTGTTTTATCAAAGACTATAATAAAAATATTTCTTATTTAATTTGAGAATTTATAATATTTACAAAAACAAAATGTAGGGAAGACAATGGAAAAAACTACGCTGAAGCCATAAGAATAAACAACATTTTAACGGATAATTATTTTTTTTAATGATAAAGGATAACTTTGTCAAAAAACATAGTAATAAGGGTATTTTAGTACAAAAAACTTCTTAAGAAATTAAAGTAGTGAACGTAGAGATCATTAATTCCTATTTCATGACCTTCCGAAGCGTCAAAAGATAATGTTAGTCGTGGCAGAGTAATGAATATTAGTCACTAGGTCATTTTCGATGGGCCCACAAATTTCAGGTTAATCGGAGTCTGTTAACTTTTTAGCACCGCTAGGATACAAGTGGCCATGCATAGCACGAGTAAGTTCCATATGGTTGTGCATAGTACTCTTATGACCCTGAAATGCCAAAATAATGATGTTCGTCATGGTAAGTATTGCTCACAAGTCAGTACCAATGATTCTAACAATTTTGCCAATCGAAGTATGCAACAAAATTCAAGAAAATCAGCATGTATATATTACACAAAAAATGGGTATAATCATTAATTATGTTTCATGTCCCTAAAAGTAAAAAAGCGATGTTACTCATGGAGTGTATTGTTCACTAGACCTTTTTCAATGGACCTATCAAATTTCAGGTCAGTCAGAGTCCGTCAATTTTTTGAGCACTGTAAGATCCAAGCGGTCATGTATAGCATGGATAGGTTCCATGTGGCCGTGCATAATATTCGTATGACCCCAAAATGCCAGAAAAATATTCGTCATGGTGAGTATTACTCACATGATAGTATCCAATGGATACACCAAATTTTAAGTCAATCAGAGTTCGGCAATCAAATTCATGAAAATCATTATGTATATAAACAGACGAAAAGATGGACATAATTAGGAGTGTACAAACGGAATCGGAATATCGCACCAAACCGAAAAGTCAAACCAACCCGATTATAAAACCCGACTAGGTTAGGTTTGGTTTGATTTGGTTTGGTATTGAGTAAAAAAATCCGAACCGAACCGACATATAAATATATAATTTTTATATATGCTTTTAAGAATTTATACAGAATTTTCTTTAAAAAATATCTAAAATATTTGGGATTCTCTTATGGGATATAATATTTAATAGAATATGAAGTGCTCCATATTTATTAACCTTAAATAATGGATTGTATGATCACTTTCTTATCAAGTATAAACGAAATGCATCAATCTCTTTGTTCTTCCATATTCATATCTCAAGATATATTAAATTCTTATATCTTTTTCAAATTTGAAGTGGTTATTACTATTTAGGTATCATATTGAATTTTGTGTTTAATTACTAAAACCTTGAAAGTGTACATCAACGAAAAATTATTGTGAGACGACTAAAAAATTAACTATCATGTGTTACTAAGAAAATTTTTCCATAAGAATATTTTAATAGAAAATATGTTTGTAATTTTTAAAAAAAAATTTACTAAGCATATATTTAATTGTAGAAAAATCAACAAAAGTAAGATTGAAATAATATTTAAGTAACAGAAAACTCGAAAAACTGAAAAACCCGACAAAACCGAACCAATCCAAATCGATATAGTTGGTTTTTTGATTCGATTCTGATAAAAATCGGACCAACCCGATCCATGTACACCCCTAGACATAATCATCAATTCCTATTTCATGGCCCTGAAATGCCAAGAAATACCGTTAGTCATGGTAAGCATTGCTCATTAGGCCGTTTTCGATGGACCCACCAAATTTAGGTTCGTCAACTTTTTGAGTACCGGTAGGATCCAAGCGGTCATGCATAACACGAATAGGTTATGTTGTACATAGTATTCTAATGACACCAAAACGCCAAAAATGGTCGTCATCGTGAATATTGCACATAGGGTCGTATCTGATGGATCTATAAATTTTTAGGCCATTCAGAATCCGGCAACCAAATTAAGGAATACATATAAATGATGATTTCCAAAGCATATATCGATAAGAGATATGATACTGTCGTATGCAATATAAATTACCCAACTATGAATCGGGGTCGAATTCACTGGGAGTTATAAGGGGTGTTAGGAGTATATACTTGAAGAAAGCGAATGGATTAACTAAATTTGCACTTCCACAAAGAGTTATGATTTCTACTTCTACTACTACTCTAATGATTGCAAGCTAAGGAAAATAAACTAGAAATGAACGAATATTGTTGGTATTTTTCCTTAATAGTTTAAAAGCCTGGGGATGTGACCATACCCTAGGTGATCGCCTAATGGGATAGAGAAGTTAATACTTGTTTTGTTGATTGAGGTGTATTGTAGCTCTCAACTCTATATTACCCACTCAATACCTCTCGGTTAGAGAGTGATTTTGCCCAATTTGGCTTTCTCAAGTCCAAATGGGTATGAAACCAAATAGCTGATATGAGTTCAAGTCGGGTTCTTACTATCTCTAGTTTGAACCCTTTAATTAGCCTAATCAATCTCTCAATTAGCCTAATTCTTTGTTAGCTAAGTTATCCTAGACTAGGTCCCTCTTTCTCAAGTTGAGACTAAATCAAAAAGGCATGAATCAAAGTTTGCAACCGTTAATTCTAATATTCAAGCATGAACTAAGCTAAATAATCAACACTCAATCATAAACAAGCATTATATTAAATACCCATAAGGTTTTCACATTAGCGTTGGGTCATAACCCTAGTAAGAATCTAACTACTCATAATGGGAATTGAAGAAAATAAAGAATAAAAACGAATTAAACTCATAATCAAAGATTAAAATGATGAAATATAATGTTTAAATACTCAAATAATCACAAACTTCCTAAAATTGCAAAAGGTAATGGCTACAGTAGCTTTGAACTTCCAAACTTGACCTAAATTTGTAAAACTCGTCTATTTATAGTAGGCCAAACAAAAATGCCCCTCGAGGTTTTGCGGCCGCACAATTTCATGTGCGGTTCGCAAATTTCTTCAGTTGGCAGGAGAGTGGATTCTGCAACCGCCCATTTCTGGATTGCGGCTGCAAAGCAACTTCTGCAGCCGCACAATTCTAGAGGCTCAAAGGGGTTGACTAGGGATAACGACATTGGTAAACTCAAACGGGCCAAGGAGAGCCTACAATCACTTCTCAAACCAAGCAAAACTTAGGATTTCACCTTGAAACACATTCGGGGATAGTTCTAGCCCCTTCGCACGCATACTTGGACTAGCAACAATTTATCCCACCCCTCACGCAATTAGATTGTAAAAGAGGATAGAGTCGAGAACCTACAACGATCACATTCAAGTTTAAAGATCACTATGGTCCGAATACCAAAGTCAATCTCAAGAGTCACAAAGTCATTAACTAGACTTATTTCTTTTGAAAACCTTGTCTCTAACCATAAGCACGTAGTTAGGCGTGTTGGTGCCAAATGAAGCATGGTTGACTCTTCAAGCATGACTTAATTAGGTCTTTTATTCATTACTACTACTATTATTATCTAAACACAAAAACAGATTAGTTCCCTTAAGAAGGTTGTCACGCCATCCATCGTTGGGACGAGTCACCCGGTTCACATAACAACTACCTTGGAAAGAACCGTTGCATTAAGAAAACCAAAAGCTTATTATCTACTAAAACATAAAAAGAAGCTACTTAACAAAACAAGAACTAATATGGAAACAAAAATAAAGAAGCTAAGAAAAGAGAGAATTTTATCAAATTATTACATGCCAAATGTATCAAGGTGTACCAAATATGTCAAATAAATTCTAACCCCCCGAATAAAAATAAGCATTGTCTCCGATGCTTAGCAAAATAAGAGTAAAGGAGTAAAGGGTAAAGAAAACTCCCTATGGCTCCTTGGACATCTCTGTGTCCCCAGCAATGTCATCGCCTTCCAGATCAACAAACTGGATCTCATCATCCTCGAATCTAAGTGTGGCTGGGTTCGCGAACATCTAACGTACTACCTCAGCAGTGTCGGCAGCAAGGTTTGGCTCTTCAAACTGGCCACCTAGTTCTACCGGTGCAGATGGGCTGAAGGATTTGGGGCACACTGGTGCGGGTCAAGCAGCATGTCAAAAGGAAGGTCTCCGACTGTAGCAATTTTGTTCACCTCTCTCCGGAGCTTATCCACTGACTTCTTGCTAGCCTGGGACTTCCTCATCTTCTTTACTTCCTTTCCCAGCTCTTCAATCACCGACCCGTGTTGTACCAAGGTGCTCATAACTGTCTTCCGATTTTCCAAAATCTTCTTTAGTGTCTCATCAATGGTCGAGGGAACCTGAGGTGCATGAGAAGTGGACTGCGCTGCAACAGTACTGGACAAGTCAGACAGCTTTGCAGTAGTTGTCTGTATCTAGTTATTGAGACTCGCCAATATCTAGGAGACTTGCAGTGTAGATAGTGGGGCAGTAGGCATGGGCACTGACCTTAGAGCTGAGGTGGAAGTTGTGGCAGGAGCTGTAGTAGAGGCTATGGATGATAGCGGAGGCATAGCTGCGGCACTGGAGGAAGGCTTAGCCGAAGTGGATGGAACATCAAC